AGGGTCCACAGCCTGTCCAGTCACAGTCTCAGCTACAGCCTGCCTCCCCTTTGCCTGCTCCTTCTCCCTACGCTGGTCCTACAAGAGGTCTTACTGAGCGTCGTGAGCCTGCGTCTCGTCCTGCGTCGCCTGTTCGTGCTGCGCGCGCTAGTGGTCGCGGTTCGAGTCAGCGTCCTCCTCCTGTCCCTAGCACGCACCGGATGTCTCTGCGTCCGTCTACTGCTCCTCTGCGTGCCCCTTTGCCTTCTCCTCCTGAGTCCTCTCTTCCTGCTCTTGCCGACCCGGAGTCGGACTCTCTTCGTGCTGCCAGTCCTACTGTCACGCGTCTCCTTGCTACTGTCGTCACTGACCCTTCTTTCGAGTCTACTGCTGCGTCTGCCCTTGTTACTGAGCTCGTCGACTTTGCTGCTCGCTGTCGCCTAGACTACACTGCTAGTCTTGTCGCTGAGTCTGAGTCTGTCTGTCCTCCGTCCGTCGGGGGTGAGTGTGCCCTTGGCACGGACGTCCTTGAGGATAGGCAGGAGGAGTTCCAGTGTCTGGCCGCTGCTTCACCTCATCTCGTGTCCGTACTGCTTACCCCTGAGGGAGACCCGGATGCACTTGACATCCCGACTCCGCGCTCTTACGCGGAGGCGATAGATGGTCCCTACTCCTCTCAGTGGCATACAGCTATGGATGCAGAGATGGCTTCGTGGAAGTCCACAGGCACCTACGTTGACGATGTCCCCCCTCCTGGGGCGAACATCGTCAGTGGCATGTGGATCTTTAGGGTGAAGCGGCCGCCGGGTTCTCCGCCTGTCTTCAAGGCACGTTACGTGGCTCGTGGCTTCAGTCAGCGGCAGGGAGTTGACTACTTTCAGACCTTCTCCCCCACCCCGAAGATGACCACTCTTCGGGTACTGCTGCACGTTGCTGCTCACCGTGACTACGAGCTGCACTCTCTCGACTTCAGCACTGCTTTCTTGCAGGGCAGCCTGCACGAGGAGATCTGGCTGCGCCGCCCACCTGGCTTCACTGGGTCTTTCCCTCCTGGTACCCAGTGGAGTCTCCGGCGTCCAGTCTACGGTCTCCGCCAGGCGCCACGTGAGTGGCACGACACACTGAGGACTACACTTGCGGCACTTGGGTTTGCTCATTCTACTGCCGACCTGTCGCTGTTTCTGCGTACCGACACCTCTCTGCCGCCGTTCTACATCCTCGTGTGCGTCGACGACTTGGTCTTTGCCACAGCTGACACTGCTGGACTCGCCTACGTGAAGTCCGAGCTGCAGAAGAGACACACGTGCACTGACCTGGGTGAACTGCGCAGCTACCTTGGCTTGCAGATCACCCGGGACAGAGCACGCCGCACCATTACCCTGACTCAGTCACACATGGTGCAGCAGGTCCTTCAGCGCTTCGGCTTCACGTACTCCTCGCCTCAGGCCACTCCTCTGCCTACTCGCCACTCGCTCTCAGCTCTGCCTTCGGATGAGTCCGTAGAGTCGAGTGGCCCGTATCCAGAGCTTGTTGGCTGCCTCATGTACCTGATGACCTGCACACGACCTGACCTTGCATACCCTCTTAGCATTCTTGCACGCTATGTTGCTCCTGGGAGACACCGACCAGAGCACATGGCTGCAGCGAAGAGGGTGTTGCGCTACTTGTGCAGTACGTCGGGCATGGGGCTAGTGCTTGGAGGGCGGAGTCCAGTGGTCCTCACTGGGCACGCGGACGCTTCTTGGGCTGACGACTAGGCCACGCAGCGGTCGTCACAGGGTTACACCTTCAGTCTTGGTTCCGGCTCTGTTTCATGGCGGGCTACCCGCTCGTCTTCTGTTCTTGGCTCCAGTTGTGAGGCTGAGATCTACGCCGGGGCTATGGCTGCCCAGGAGCTTCGCTGGCTCACCTACCTGCTGACCGACCTTGGAGAGCCGCCTCGTTCTCCTCCAGTCCTGTACGTAGACAACAAGGCCATGCTGGCCTTGTGTCGAGAGCAGCGACTGGAGCACAGGACAAAGCATTTTGCTCTCCACTACTTTCTTGCTCGTGAGCTACAGCAGCGTGGAAAGTTGCGGCTTGCGTACGTGGCCTCTGAGGCCAACACTGCTGATGTCTTCACCAAGGCACTTGCGCCTTGTGATCATCAGCGCTTCTGCACTCAGCTGGGTCTTGTGCATGTCTTGCCTCACTTGCTCACTTCTTGACCTTGCTTGTACTGTCACATATCTATACTCCTGCTCTTGCTTGCTTAGCCTTTTATATATAAATATGTGATCTTGCATGTGAACTGGCCTTTTGGCCTTTGAACTTGTGCTCGGAATGTGTGGTGATTTTGTGATCCACCTTGAGCTTTGCTTTGCTTTGCTTGACTGGTCTTGTGACCCCTTGTTCTCCCCCACTTTGCCTATGGGGGTGTGTCAGAACATTATAGCTTATGCTGTTGTGTAGGCTATAGTGGGGTATCCCATAGGGGGTACAACCAATTAGGGTTTCGTATTTGTACTCACTTCATTCATAGTTCATTCATTCTCGTTTCAGTTTTCTCACTTGTCGAACATCACATTTGAGTTTTCGTCGAAGAAAAAGGGTTTGCCGCGAATTTGAAATGTTGTCGAAGGCGATACACTCTTTTAATGCCAACCAGGGCTGTGTCGAAGGCAGGAAATTGCAGAACTGAAGTATTAACGCTCTTCCTTCGAGAATTGACACATTTTCGACGGAAATACCCCTTCCGTCGAGAACAAAATGTCTGCACATTTTCGACGGAAATACCCCTTTCGTCGAGAATCGTATATTATTTTTAGGGCCTTAACTTGGCTGATATTTTGAGTTACGAAACACTTTCTTTTTTAATTCTACAATGGTATATCGAGTTGTCTCGCGTCGAGCTCCTTCAATTTCTACTGTTACGGCTGACATATATATTGGCATAAGAATACGACATTGAACCCGCGGGTTTCGGAGGGTTTTGTGGCCTGGTCAGCCGGGAATTTTCGGGGGCCCGGAGGGATTCCTCGGGTTTTTCGTTTTGCCTCAATTCCCTTTGTGCCAGGGCGGGCGGGGCGGCATGTGATGACGTCACCCGTGTGTATATAATAGGATAAGGATGGGGTTGGGAGTGCTGTTCAAAGGGAACAGTAAACACCTCTCTAACAGCCTGTCAATTGCGACACTGTAGCTGTCCCTTGATCGATCAAGGGCAGGATAGATCTAGGGAGGGGACGCGCCCTCAAATGTTAGCAAGTATGTGTTCGCGCAAGTTCGCAAGCACTTCATTCTGTGGCTTCTATTCCACCGCATCCTCGCGGTGCCATGAGGGTGTGCCTACGAGTGCGGTTTTCCTCAAACCCTTCCCAACCATTCCAAATACTACGCGTTGCAAGAATAAACCGTACGGAATCGCTTTGAAGCCAGTGAGCCAACCTCCAGCGCACAGAAGCACCACCACGGCAACGTTCCCGTTACTTCCGATCCGAGTCTCTCCCAAATCCCGACGCAGTCAACCCACCGAAGTTCACCGCTCCCTCCCTCCCCACACAAACATCCTATTTCTTGGCTCCTCCAAGCATCCTCCCTCAACATGAATTTCTGGCCTCCCTCTCCTACTCTTCCTCCACCTCTTCCTCGTCCTCCTCCCCCTCTTTCATTCGTCTCAAGCGCGGCGCTCCTCTTACGGTTCTAATTTCCTTCGCAAGTCTTCGTACTAGCATTAAATAGAGCCGGTATTCTTCCCGAGACATGCATCGTTCCCAGATTGACTCCCGCACAATCCTCCCTAATGCGGCACCCTTGCAAGTCAATAGCAGCACAACCTCACTCCGTTCCCGTGTCTCCCCATAACCTCACGTTTTAGTCGAAGCCCTCTGTTTCGCGCTGACCGTCCACCCATCCTCAATACTTTTTTTAACCTTTCAACTTTGTGTAAAATCTTCTTCAAGTCCCCATTCTAGGTCACGCATCCGTTTGTTCTCATGGCGCAAAGAATTCTCCAACTGCTTTGGCGGAAGCCCATGGCGTTGGCGCGCCACGTGTACTAGTATACGTCCCGCGTGTCTCGCCACGTGTACTACTCGACCTCCCGCGAGTATTTCTGTCGCATGAGCTCACATTACAAGCGCGTCTGAAGGCGATTAATTGCCAGATGTGGAACCACCTAGCTGCCGCACCTAGCTGCCGCACCTAGCTGCCGCACCTAGCTGCCGCACCTAGCTGCCGCACCTAGCTGCCGCACATAGCCGCTGCTTTCACTGAAGCGACTATCCGAACCTCGACTCTTGAGTGGTTCTTTTGAGGCGCCTCGAAGCTCGTCTCGCTTTCGCGAGAGAGGGAGAGAACATCTCTTAACTTTCGTGAGCATTCTTGTTTTGCGCGCCGACGCGCCGCGCGCGTAGGAGTAGATCAGTGGTAGTAGGCCGCACATTTCCGGGCGCTGCGGCGCCGACAGCTTGGGAGTACCAGTCGTCGCTGGAATCGGGCCTCTCAGCGTTCGTCAACGTTCGTTTACGCTCGTCAACGCTCGTCAACTCTCGTCGACGCTTGTCAACGCTCGCCTCCCGCGTCGTCACCCTGTCCCTAGTATACTCGTCGTTGCGTCACGCCCTGCGCCTCTGTTCCCACCAATCTCCTCGCTCTCGTTCCCTACGATAGAAACCCCGAGGTCTCGCAACCTCGCAGCAGCTGGGTCCCGAGGTGCCCGATTAATTGGACACACGTGCACGCTCTCGTAACGACCGGCTCAGTTGCACGCGGAGCGCGCGCGCGCAGTGGTGGTTACCAGGCTTCCTCGGCACCGTTCCGGCCTGTTCGCGTCTGCGGCGGCGGTTTGTACAAGCGATTGTGGCTGCTAGTGGCTGTAGCGGCTGGGCCCGGTGTTCCTTTAATTCCTGCTCCCGCTTTCGACTTGTCCGCCACTCGCCATCCGTCATTCCCCATTCGCCGTTCCCGCATTCGACACTTGGGTCATTCATTCGGCGTTCTGTATTAGCCGTGGTGGTGGGACGCGGTAGCGGGCGGGCGCCATGGGCAAGAGAGCGATAAAGAAGTCGGTGACAGAGTACAAGTGCGAGCGACTCAACCAGATCGTCAAAGGTGTGCCCTAGGGAGTCCAATGTAACATCATGAAGGTGCCATGGTGTCCGACATACCGTCTTACCTTCTGCGGGATGAGTTAGTAAGTTGCCGTCTTAAACATATCGCGCGAGCGGCTCAATCGGGTGCGCGTCGCGCGTGCGACAATGTATTGCCTTCTGTATACGATACTCCTCCCATCGCCTTCTCCACATTCTCTCCTCATCTCCTCACTTTCCCCCCTCCCTCCCTTCCCCCTGTTCCCCTTATCCATTTCCCCTCCCCATCCCCTGCCATCCCCCCTTCTTCGTCCCCCCCGCGTGCCCCTCAACCTCTCCCCCTTTCCGCCGCTCCGCCCCTCCGCACGCGCGCCAGTGGGCGACACAGTGATGCTGCGCCCGCCCGCGGAGGACACCCCGCCATACGTGGCGCGCGTGGAGTCCATCGAAGTCGAGCGCGCGGACACCAAGGTCCGCCTGCGCTGGTTCTACCGCCCGGAGGAATCCCTGGGCGGGCGGCGCAACTTCCACGGGTCCAAGGAGCTGTTCCTATCAGACCACTTCGACGTGTGCAGCATGGATGCTGTGGAGGGCGTGTGCCGCGTGCACTCCTTCAAGAGCTATGTGAAGCTCGCGGCCGTGGAGGCGGAGGATTACTTTTACCGGTTCGAGTACAAGGCTGCTACTGGGACATTCAAGCCCGACCATGTCGCTGTGTGCGTGGGCGTTGGGGGGGGGGAAGGGGAGGGGTGGGAGGGAGGGGAGGGGAGGGGAGGGGAGGGGAGGGGAGGGGAGGGGAGGGGAGGGGACGAGACGGGACAGGAGGGGAGGGGAAGGGGGAGTGAGTGCGGGCGAGGGGGTGGAAGCCTGGAGTTCAGGGTTGGGGAAGAGAAACAGGAAGGAGTGGGGGAGTGAGAAAGACGCTTTTTCGTCAGCCCTCTGTGTCTCTTGCCTCCCGTCCCCCTTCCCCCCCCCCCCCCCCCCCCCCCCCCCCCCCCCCCCCCCGCGCCTTGCCCATGTGCATGCTCGCTTGCTCATTTGCGCGCCTGTGTCGTCATGCCCTCTTTTGCCCAAGTGCTCCTGTGCTCCTGTGCTCCTGTGCTCCTGTGCTCCTGTGCTCCTGTGCTCCTGTGCTCCTGTGCTCCTGTGCTCCTGTGCTCCTGTGCTCCTGTGCTCCTGTGCTCCTGTGCTCCTGTGCTCCTGTGCTCCTGTGCTCCTGTGCTCCTGTGCTCCTGTGCTCCCATGCGCGTGTGCACGTGTGAGCAGGTACTGTGTGTGTGAGATGCCCTATAACCCCGACGATCTCATGGTGCAGTGCGACAGCTGCAGAGACTGGTCCGTCCCTTCCCCCATCCTTCTCTCCACCTCCTCTTCTCGCGCTCCTCTCTCGCCCCTCTTCCTCTCTCGCCCCTCTTCCTCTCTCGCCCCTCTTCCTCTCTCGCCCCACTTCCCCTCTCGTCTTTCCTCTGTCTGGTGATTGCCAGATCTGCAGTCGTCCGTCCTTCCCTCCATCCGTTCCCTTCCCCGCGCTCCCAGTGTTCTCTCCCGCTTTCCCTCATCCCTTGCTCTTCCGTCCCATGCCCGCTCTCCCTCCATCCGTCGCTTTTCCTTTCGCCTCACCACTGTGTAATCACCTATCCCCCCTCTCTTCCTTAGCTCTGTCCTCTGCCCCCCTTCCCTCGCCCCTCATTTTCCTCGTTTCACTTCGTCGTTTCCTCCTCCCTTTCCCTCCTCCCTTTCGTCGTCCCTTTTCTTCTCCCCCTCCCTTTGCCCCATTCCTTTCCTTACTCCTTTCCCTCACACGTTACCATCCTCTATTCCCTCCTCCCCTTCGCCCCCTCCTCTTTCCACCTCCGTTCCCCTCCATTTTTCTCCTCTCGATTTCTCCTTCCTTTCCTCGTTTTCCCCCTCCCTTTCTCACATTCTCCCCTCGCTCTCTCTCCCCCCCCCCCCCTTCTCACACCCCACCCCTCTCACACCCCCCACCACTCTCACACCCCCCTCCCCTCTCACACCCGCTCTCCCTCTCACTCCCTCCTCCCCATCCCCTCACACGCACACCCTGGGCGGGCAGGTTCCACCCGACGTGCATCCACCTGACGCCAGAGCAGGTGAAGAAGATGACGCAGTTCGTGTGTGACAAGTGCCTGGCCGAGGGGCAGATCCTCGCTGGCAAACCACAGCCTCTTCCTGCCACTGAGTCCAGTACACTCACTGTAAGCACGCTCGCTGTGAGCACACTCGCTGTAAGCACACTCGCTGTAAGCAAACTCTCAGCACACTTGCTCTGATAAGGGCATTCACTGCAAGCACGCTCACCGTAGTAAGCACATTACAGTTCTGTATAGTCACCTCTTGCCTCCCTGTTTTTTCTACACATCCTCTTTGTCTTCTCATTTATCTGTTCCTTTTCCTGTTCTGCTCCTTTCTTCCCTCCTCCTCCTCCCCTTCCTTCCCCCCTCCCCATCCCCCCCACTGCCCCCATATGCCCTGCTCATTCCGCCCCCTTTCTCCCTCACTCATGTCTAGTGGTGTTTTGGCTTCCTGAAATGACTCACAATACCCCTTTCCTCCGTTTCTCTCTCTCTCTCTCTCTCTCTCTCTCTCTCTCTCTCTCTCTCTCTCTCTCTCTCTCTCTCTCTCTCTCTCTCTCTCTCTCTCTCTCTCTCCCTTTCCCCTTCTCCCCCTCCCGCGCATGCAGGGAGAGCGGAACCCGAAGCGTTCAAAGCGGTGACCCTCCAGACCGCTCCCTCGTGCAAGCGGGAGGCACTTGGGGGGGATGGGGGGGAAGGGGGGAAGGGTGCTCAAGTGGTGACCCTCTCGCACACACATCATGCTCTCTCCGTGTCCTCTCTCTGAAGGCTTTTGTGAAGGAGGGAGAGGGGGGATAGGGAAAATAGGGGGAGGGGGAGATGGGGGGGAAGGGGGAGGGGGAGATGGGGAGGAAGGGGGAGGGGAAGGGCGAAGGGGAGGTGGAGGGAGAGGGGAAGGGGTTGATGCCTCTTCATACCTGGGTTTGAGAAGCCTTAAGAGACGTTCCTGCATACCCACTTCCATCCACCCTCCTTTCCTCCACCGCTCGCGCACTCACTCCCTCTTTCGCCACCCTACCATGCCGACTGCTCTCCGGCAAGGAGAGGCAAGGATACACAGAAGGCTCTTTACCAAACCCCCTCCCCTCTCCCCATCTCCCTCGTCCTCCACACCCTTCAATCGCTCTCCCCTGTTTCCCTTGTGTAAATTCTTCCAGGATTGAGACATTTGATAATGCGCCTCAGCCTACCCTTCCGTTTCCCCTGCCCAATCCACCCATCTTTCTCCTTTATCAGACCAATGCCGTCTCCCTCTCACTCAACCTGTGTTTGTGCCCCTGGGCCCCTGTGACCACGCTCTCTAACCTCCTGGGACAAATGCTTGGTACCGGTATTGGTATTTGGGAGGGAGCACTGTTGTGTCAAGTGGAAGGGGAAGGGGAAGGTAATGTAATGTGCAAGGGTTTTAGTACAAGATCTAGGGGAACCCTAAATCCCTGCATATGGGGCAGGTGTTGGATTCTAACCAAAGCAGCAGACTGGCTAGCGTGTTGGGGTGGGGGTCTGCTTAGTTTAGTCGTAGTGGCAATGGCCTTGTGTGCCGTCTGAGGGTCTGCATTCGAAAGAAACCCCCTCCCTCATGTTCATACTAAACCATGTTTTGATGGGGCAGATGCAGTAGTTGCAAATTGGGAAATTGCTGATGGGGTGAACGATCAGCGAGTTTGGCCAGTAATTGCTGACAGTACCCGTTTACATAATGCAACCACAATCAGTCCTGATTTGCTGGTAGATTGTGGCAGACAGACACCATTTACAGCAACATAAAAAATCACCTTTAAAAACATTACCTTGTTAAACAATATCATATATACAGGAATATATCTTATTCATTGTTATTGTTAGAAAATCTGCAGGCTACCTTGGGACAGTCAGTTGTCTATCACACGGCTTCTGGAAATAATGTGTCAACCACCCATCTTCAATTACCGCAGTCAATTAGCCACCATCCGATGCTTCCTCTTCCTCCAATTCAAAAGCATCTACTTCAGCAAAATAGTTCTGTTTCTCAGACACAAAGACAGTGCGCTCTTGCTTCCCATGCTCCCTCTTCAACCGCCCTTTGCCTGGCGACACACTCAACCCACTTGATTTCCTATGCGGTTGCAAGCCCCACTCCGAATCGCCCTTGTCGCCCTCCTTACTCTCCTCACTTTTCTCACTCTCCTCACTCTCGCTCCCTGCACTACCACTCTCCAAAGCACTACTTCGATCATCTCCCCCTCTTGCTTCTTCAACATTCCTCTCCCTCCCTCCATTCGACACAACTCCCTCTCTCCTCGCCATATCCACGCCTGCCACTTCTCTTCCTTCCACCAAACTCCCTCCCACATTCAGCCCATCCTTGTGCAACAGCACCTCGACCACTGAATTACTCTGACATTCTGCTTGCTCCTCCTCCCTTCTCCTCTCCAACACCCTTCTAGTAGCCGCTGCCCTGATTTCGCCTCCTCTTCTTCCCTTCCTCTCCGGTTCCAGTAAAGACTCAGCCTTCCCTCTTCCTGCCTTCCCCCTGCCTCTGCCTGTGTCCCCCCTGCCTCTGTCTGTGTCCCCCCTGCCTCTGTCTGTGTCCCCCCTGCCTCTGTCTGTGTCCCCCCTGCCTCTGTCTGTGTTCCCCCTACCTCTGCCTCTGCCTGTGTCCACAGGTGAATGCTTCGCTGAATCGCTCTGAACCTTCTGACTTGGCCCTAGACAACCTCGACTTCTCAACTGGGGTTTCTGCGTTTCCTGGCCCGGGCTCTCATGTACCTGCTGCTGCTGCTGCTGCTGCTGCTGTTTATTCATTGAACGCAATTTCAAATCTTTCACGTCCTTCTGCTGATCCTGCTTCTGCTGTTGCGTACTCGTCATATGCGGTTTCATCTGTCCTTTTATATCCTTCTGCTGCTGCAGGTGTTGTTGTTGCTGCTGCTGCTGTTGCCGCCTCTGCTGCTGCTGCTGCTGTTGCCGCTGCTGCTGCACATCTTCCTCCTTCCTCTGCTCCTCCACCTCCAGTCTTGCAGCAGCAGCAGCCTTCTCCTTGGCGGCCCTGCCACTGCGGGTCACTGGCTTCCTGTCTTCCAGCCACTTAGACCGCAGCTCCACCTGCACCGCCCAGTCCACCCACAGACTTCAATTAAACCGAAAGCTGATAAAAAAAAAAAAAGGCACGCTAACTTCAAAAGATGCACGGCACAACAATCTACCTGGACCAGTGGAGGATTGCAGCAGAGCAGAGAACACAGGGGGAACGAAAAAAGCACGGCCGGATCAATCAACCCAACGCACCTGCTTGGGAGTCTCCTCCTCGTGAGGCGACGGCTTGCCGAAGAGTATCCTCCCAACGTCATCCCCCGACACCGCTTTCGCCGCTTGTTTCGACCGATGAGGCCACGTCCATGGGCCTTGACTGCCACGCACGCACGCCACGCAGCACGACAGGACGTCAGACGCGTCAAACGTGGGGCTCAAGGCGGGTGCGGGAAATGTTGGGTCGACTAATGAGTGAGCTCAGAGGCGGAAGGGAGAAGGGCGAATGGGGAGGGGGGAGAGGGGGGAGGGGAAGAAGCAATCCTTGCAGCGCAGTCATCGCTGACAGCCAGGAGCGCGGGCAGTAGCATTATGACGAGACGCGGGAGAGAAACTCTAGAACGAACGACAAGAAAAGCGGTTTCTTTGTTTGTTTGTTCCCCGAAATCGAACACTACAGAATTGTTCCGTTCCGACACAAGATGGCGTTTTCGTAGCCACACACCTAAGCGTCTCAATCCCACTAACACGCACACAACGACAGATGATAGCGTAATCGTCACCTTTCCGCCGCGTTCGACGCGTCTTCGGAGTCCTGATCGGAGATTGCGCTGCCGCCTAAAGACGCCCGCTGGCGCTTCCGTCGGTACATTCTCTCGCCCACGGCTTGCCCGTCCATTGCGGGAGTCATGCGCGTCGCGGCGGCTAGGGTTAATCTGTCCGTTTCGTACGCTGTGGTTCGGGATGGCTCGGCCTGGGGAGAGGAGGGGGAGGGAGAAGGTAGAGGGAAGCACTCTAAACGGAGTGAAGCTGCTCAAATTACATTTGTTTATTTTTTGCTGATATGTACGCTATAATTGGCACGAAAAAACGGCTTCGCTAGTGGTAGCGACGCGCAGAGCACCGTACGGTAAAAATAAAGCAGAAACACTCAGGCGTGTGAACTCTTAGCAAGCGCGCCGCTACCTGAGACGTATCGGAAAGGCGCGAGGCGAGGGCGCCGTTGAGAGAAGACGATGCTAAGAAAGGGACTGACGAGGACGACGCCATGCGACGCGCAGCATCCTCCGATTATCACGGGAGTAGAAGGCCGTGTGAGCAGCAAGAAACGTACTGACGAGGCGGGTTTGGTTGGTGCTGGTCTTTATTCTGCAGCGGAGCACGGCTGCCTGCTCTCGTGTTCCGCAAGTTATATTTCCAAGTCGCTGACCACGGTTTGGCCTGTTGTGTCGTGGTTTAGAACGGTAAAAATAAGACAGATGTGTAAAAACCTGAAGAGCCCTGAGCTGAAGGGAGTTCAGCTCGCTTGTCAGAGTCGAGTGTGTGTGCCAAGCTAAACCAGGCTGAACCGAGCTAAATCGTGTTGTAAGAATCTGGATCCAGCCAAAGCCAGCCAGCCTACCCTTGGGCTGAAACCAGACTTGTTTCGCTCTGGTTGGAGGGCAAGGGAAGTGGATGGCGGCCAGGTTTGCGAAACTAAATTGTAACGCTCAACAAGGTTTCCTGTTTGTTCATGCTTGATACATCCTGAAAACAAGCATTTGTGAGTTAAATAAATAATTGGCACCATGTGTGATTTGTCATGAGCCAAAAATGCACAAACTTCGGTTATTAAAAACACAGTCATCGTCCAAAACGTGTGGAAGCACCTCCACCTCCCGCTCTTTGCCGCACACCTGAGTCCTTGTTGAGCATTTGGTTCAACTCAATTGCAATTGGAAGCATAGATGTATCCGCCATCGCTTCCTCACCTGAATGCATCACCAGCATACACAAAACACATAACAACAAAACATCAGCACATGTTAAATAATCAAACGCAGTAACAGCTCCACAAAATCATTGCGAGACCCCCTAACGCAACTTCCATTTCTCACCTTCCACTCCATCCCCTGTAACCGCTTTCTCAAACGAGTGCACGCGTAGCAGTGCTGCCGGCAGCACCACCGTATCCCCCTTGCTCATCTCCAGGTGATGCGGGTGGTGCCAGAACAGACGAAGCACGCTATCCGGCTTCACCACTGCAGTCATCTGCGCAAACTTCTGCAGGGACGCACCCCTTGTCTGCTCCGTGCGATGCACGAATCGCTCCAAGAGCAGAGCAGGGAGCGGGCGCTGCTGTGATACCAGAGAGGGATGGGAGGAAGCCGGAGAGGAGAGAGAGGGGGATGAGCCTTGGCGAGGCGGGAAAGGGGAACTGGGAGAGGGAGGAGGTCACTGAGAAGTTGGGAGAAGAGAAGGCACTGGTTTCTGAGACCCAGAAGGAGGCTGGGGGACACATGAACGGAAGTAGCTGCAGCAACACACGAATCCGGCACGTGATTTTTTTGCTCCTCTACTCCCCACCTGCTGAATCTTTTTCGGAAATCCAATTCATCTTCCCTGCATTCACCTTCGACATTCAAAAACCCCAAATGTGAAACCCCATCCATCCCCACACATCCCTCCCCCCACATCAATCCACCCACATCCCTCCCCCCACATCAATCCACCCACATCCCTCCCCCCAAATCAATCCATTGACATCCCGCCCCCCATATCCCTCCCTCTCGCGCACATCGCCAGGCTCCACAAAGTGCAGCGTCTGAAGCAGCAGCTGCGATGCCTGTGGCCTGTGCCCCTCATACTCTCTTATAAATCCTCCCACATTCATTCATTCACACACCTCTCTCCCTCCCGCGCACCTCGCCAGGGTCCACGAAGTGCAGCATCTGCAGCAGCAGCAGCAACGCCTGCTGCCTGTGCGCCTCGTACCCTCGTTATCAATTGCCCAACATCACCCCGTAACATCAATCCCTCCCCTGCACACCACCCTCCCTCCCGCGCACCTCGCCAGGCCCCACGAAGTGCAGCATCTGCAGCAGCAGCTGCGACGCCTGCTGCCTGTGCGCCTCGTACTCCCTCAGAAACCGGTCCAGGAACCCCGGCTTCACGTCCCCGGGGGCGAACAGGAAGGAGGTGACTGGCAGGCGCACAAACCAGGCCGTCTGCGGCCCGTGCGTGGTCAGAAAGTGCAGGGTCGCCTGGGGAGAGGGGAGTAGGGAGTGAGGGAGGGGGAGAGGTGTGAGGAGCCTAAGAAGCTGAGGCTGCGGCGCCTGTCCAAGGAGACTCCTTTGATACCCCTTAAGTTAGGCCGTGATGGGGGCCGTGGGTGGTCAGGAACTGCAGGGTCACCGACAGTGGGGGGCAGGGGATGAGGGAAGTAGTTGTTACACTGGAAGACCACTGACTCGAGATAGAATCAGCAGCAGTAACAGCATAGAAGGGAGGCTTTGGAACAGACGAGCACGGAATTAGGAAGGGAGAGGGGATTTATCTTCAGGTTATAAACAGGACGGTGAAAAGCGAAAACGGGATTCTGTTACGAGTGCCATGTGGCGCCTCTGACCTGTAGAAGTCAAAGAGAGCACGTTTCATGAGCGCTGCGTAAATATTTAATCTTGTGCGAGTTTGAGCACCGTGATACAAAATGCTGCTGCCGTTTCGCATGTGACTCGACCTGGTTGTCCTTGGAGGCAAGTCTTTGGGGGGTCAGAGAGACCACCTTGTAAGCGCGTTGTGCAAACAGCTGACATGGTTACGAGTCTGAGCGTGCGCCGTGATACAAAATGCTGCTTCCGTTGCGCATGTGACTCTCACCTGGTCGTCCTTGGAGGCGACGCCTTGCGGGTCGAATGAGGGGAAGACGTGGCGGAAGGAGTGCAGCGTGAGGAAGCCATCCCGGATGTATGGCCGCCATGCGGCTTCCTGCATTGCCGTGATGGCGGTGCACGCGGGTGGTGGTGGTGGTGGTGGTGGTGGTGGTGGTGGTGGTGGTGGTGGTGGTGGTGGTGGTGGTGGTGGTGGTGGTGGTGGTGGTGGTGGTGGTGGTGGTGGTGGTGGTGGTGGTGGTGGTGGTGGTGGTGGTGGTGGTGGTGGTGGTGGTGGTGGTGGTGGTGGTGGTGGTGGTGGTGGTGGTGGTGGTGGAAGGGGAGGAGGAGGAGGAGGAGGAGGAGGAGGAGGAGGAGGAGGAGGAGGAGGAGGAGGAGGAGGAGGAGGAGGAGGAGGAGGAGGAGGAGGAGGAGGAGTAGGAGGTGTGGGGGGGAGTGCATGGAAACGGGAGGGAAAATTAGGAAAGAGGGGAGGTGAGTGGAGGAAATGGGGCTATGATTGGAGAACTGGCGGGAGGAGTGATGGGGGGATTGATGCGAGCTCGCACAACAAACCGTTACAAACCGACAATTCCATCTTACCTCCTGCTTTCACCACCAGACTTGATAAACAGCCACTGTGCACGCACTTGCGTTTAAGCTGCAAATCGCCCCACTACCTTGTCCGGGCGCACATGTACGAAACAACACAATAGCACACATGCCAAGTGCCAACAATAGCACCTAAAACAACATCCTACAACAACACGTGTAGTTAGGGATAAGCGCTTACTATAGAATCCCGGGAGTCTGTAGCGGTGTCGTACCACACGACATGCGAGACGCCCGCATACTTGTAGTACTCAACCCACTGGCATGCACCATGGGATGATGGGATGTGGGAGCAGCAGAAGAGGCGAGGGAAGGTGGGGACGAGGGAGGGAAGAAGGGAGGGGGGGATGGACATGGGGGTTGAGAGTGGGGTGAAGCTTGCATGTTTGTGGTTCTCAACCCATTGGCATGCACGATGGGACGTGGAAGCAGCAGGTGGAGGGAGGGTGCGAGGGGAGGAGGGAGGGAGTGAGGGGAGGAGGGAGGGAGTAAAGGAGGGGAGAGCGAGTGAGGGGAGGAGAGAGGTGAAGGAAGGAGGGAGAATGAGGGCCCGGGGTGGGCAACGGTTGCATGCTTGTAATGATATACCCCACTGAACTGATACGCACGAGGGGATGTGGACGCAGGACGAGGAGGGGGCGGGGGAAATGGGGAGTGGGGGGGAAACGAAAGGGAGGAAGGAGGGAATGATGGTAAAGGGACACGCACATACTTGTAGTAATCGGCCCACTGCCATGCACCATGGGATGTGCAAGCAGTAGCGGGAAGGACGGAGGGAGGGATTGGGGAGGGAGGGAGGGAGGGAACGACAGCCCCAGACGGGGGAAAAAAGGCTTGAGATTCTCACGCCACTGCTACGCTTGGTGGGATGTGGGAGAAGTGGGGGCGGGAGGGAGGGAACGACGGGAAGATGGAGGGAATGACGGCTGGGAATGGCGTGTCTCAGTGCAAGATGGTATGTGGGAGCGATGGTTGCAGGATGGAGAAAATGATGAGGAGAGGGAAGGAGGAGTGGAGGGCAGGGGAGAAGGAGGCAGTGAAGGGGAAAATAGGGACTTGACGACAAGTTTATTAGAAAAACGTTTATAAGAGGCAGTTATACTGGAATCACTGTTACTGAAGACACGTGTATACAACTGCGCCAAATAACCGCACCTTACCAGCACGTGCAACCCGACCCATGCGCACCTGCCGGCGCTCACAGAGAGAGATGTGGGAGGACCTATTAAGTTAGAGTCGGCTCAAAAGCCAACTGAGACCATGTGCCATGCCAACCCACCCGCATGCACAACGTGACCCAAGCCCACCTGGCGGCACTCGTAGAGCGAGATGTTGGAGGACCTGTTGAGGTGGTGCACCACCATTGTGACGAGATAGTGCGCCTTGTCCTTGCCCCCTGCCACCTGCACCTCCGATCCCAGCTCCGAGCTGATTGGGGGAGGGGGAAATGCGAGGAGGAGGCGAGGCCAGGAGGAGGGGGGAAAGTGGGAGGGGGAGGACAGGGCGAGAGGGAGGAAGGGGGGAGAGAGAGGAAGGGAACAGAGAGAGGAAGGAGGGAGAGTGAGGGAGGGGCCTCTGTGAATGGGTGATTGGAGCAGGATTCAGGCGGGCAGATACGGCGCCTTGTCCTTGTCCCCTGCCACCTGCACTCTGATCTAAGTCTTGAGTTTAAGGGGGGCAATGGGGGAGATGATAGGGGAGGGATAGGGAGAGGAAGAGGAGAGGTGAGAGAGTATGAGAGGAGGTGGGAAGACCAGGAAAAGAGGGGGATTGGGGAGAGGGAAGGGGGAGCACTCACGAGGGAGCAGCCTAGGCTTAAACCTACACCTAGACATAAAACCAGAGTCTCAGATGTTTCCCAGATTGTCTCATCCTTCCTATCGATTTTGACTGCTGGGCTGTGGACCCCGGGTTTGAAGCTAAACCTAGATTTAGGCCGTCACTGAGACTTAGACCTAGACCCGACCTAGACTCGACCTGGACTCCGAAGTTGACGTACAGCTGCTTGTTGAGAGGGTTGTGTGTGCGTGGGTCCCACACGTCAATCTCCAGCCCATACTGCGGGTCCCACGCGTTCACTATCTCGCCCTCTCTGCTCGCCTCGTACACGTCCGTTCCCCTCCCCCTCCTCGCCCCCACACCCCCTCTATCCAGGGCAACGCGGACCAACCCTGCGCCTCTATTTCCCGCCGCCTCCCCATGCCCCGTCCCCCCACGCGCAACGTCACTGTTCCCCCTCCCCCGCCCGTCGTCCCCTCTCCCCTCTCCACTTCCGCCATCCCCAGGCGCGCCCAGCTTCCTATTCGACCCCCCCCGCCCGCCTCTCCCCGTTGGCGCAGCTCCCTCGCCCCCCGCCCCTCCCCCCAGGCGCAATGCTGCGCGCAGCAGAAGCGCGAGCAGCAGCAGCGCGACCAGCGCAACTGCCCCTCTAAGAAGCAACCGGCGGTAGTGCAGGCGGATATGCAGAAGCAGGCGGGACGTTTTCCGCGGTTTCCCGCCCCCGTTGCCATGCCCCCCGCCCCCGCTTCCCACGGACCCCCCCGCTCCCCCTCCGCCATCGCTGCTACGTAAGCCCTCGCCCGCGCCAGCTCCGCGCACCCCCACGCCCAGCCCGCCCCCTCCGCCTGCCACGCGGCCCTGCCGGGGGGCCCTGGAGCCAGGCGGACCACCCATGGCTGTCGCTGCGGAGAATCGGGGAGGGGAGGGATGAGGGACGGGAGGGATGAGGGACGGGAGGGATGAGGGGAAGGAGGGATGAAGGGATGGATGAGGGGAAGGATGAGGGGATTCACAGGTGAGGACCAGGGATGAGAGAGGGGAGGAATACGGGAAGGAAGGTGTGAGGGGTGAGAGGGGAGGAGCAGAATGCATGGATAACTTTTCAGATGTGAAAGCTGGTTCACGAAGCGAGGCAGAGCGAGGGAGACGAAGCGAGAAGAGTATGATACGTGACAGGTTATTAGAGACGGGGAAGTGCCTGTGGAGGGCAAGAACGTGCGGGAAGTGGAATGTCTGTGGCAGAATCCGAGAGATTCCGAGGGAAATCATCAAGATGAACAGATGAACGCCTTACAAAGAGAGCCGTGCACAAACGATCAGGGCCGGGCACAAAGTACTAACTAGCAAGTATACTTGGACGAACAGGTCTGGAATCCTGGTCATCCAATCAAAAGGGTCCAAGATCCGTCGACATTCAGCTGTCTCGAGACCTGACAAAATTTGACGGAGCAGCTAAGGATCAAGAGGCGTTTTAGAAAGGAAAAGGTGGCGGGAGCCATTTCAAGGAGGTTATTGTGGAGTTGGCGAGTAAGTTGCCGCGCTGTCGGATCACCAGCAGCGTCGGATCGAAACGAGAGGAAGCAAACCGGCTTCGACCGACCTTCACCGGCGATTCATTCCTTGCAATTCCGTCTCAAAAAACAGAGCCCAGTGCCTTACGGATTTTTCTGTGTGCCGGTTAGCAGAGCAGCAGTGCCACGTTGATCATTCCGCGCGGCTGACGGCGGTGAAAGCGGGTTCCCTTCAGTGCGGACTGGTTTCTCCTGCCTAAGCTAAAAGTCGGTGGTCTGATGTGGGAAGTTCGCTTAGTACCAGCCGGTGGCTCGCCCAAACGACCAGATTACGAGCTTGGATGGGACAAAATCAGCTCTGAAACACCCTCGACTCAGGCACTCGGCGTCCGTGGCGTGTGATCCGTAAGCCGCGGTCCTTGAAATCACCTCGCGGTTCGGAGTGTAGCTCTCCTGATAAAAAAACTCTCTTGAGGTTGGCTGTCGTTTGTCGATCATGCCTTGCGAACTGATGATGCCTTGGAATGGATGGGAGGGGGAGGGATTGGCGGAGGATGATTGATACGGGAGGGGACTTCGAGAACATACTGTACCACGATTGGAGGAGAGACGTGGGTTGGAGGGAAATTTTTGCAGGAGCAATCGACCATCCAGGAGATGATGGCGGGTGTCAGACAACACTTGGTACACGTTTGGAGGATGAAGAACCTTACAGAATCTGCCCTATGTGTTAACACATAACTTATCGGAGAAGCAGCTTCCGTTTTGATCGGGCGACGGACCTGCAGCTTCGATGACTGACTGCCGGAAATAAAGCCATTCAGATAAAATTTTCTGCAAGGGAGGCATCAACCCAAAAGACCATGCGACAGCATGTTTGAAATTTGTGCTTCTCTATTGTTTGATGCATTTTTCTTAGGTAATTCAATAAAGATATACAATTATGTGTGGTTCTATTAATGTAATTCTTCAGCAATCTAAACAGTTACATGGCGATGTTCATCTTTATTGTGCTATAAAAAGGCCCTTATGATCTTTTCGAGATTAGTAATGTAAAGAGTATTGTAACGGAAGGTTGTGCATTCCTGTACACGCTGGTGTGAGAATGGTAATTGATAGTAAAGGAAAAATGCAAAACATTTATAGTCTAGCAAAGTACCTTTTTAGTAATGTACCATGTTCACTAAACAGGTTGAGTATCGAGTCTACTTTATAAAGCGGTATTTGTTAAAATAGTAGGCAGAAGGAGGAGCCATAGCTAGGGTTTAGCTAGCTAGGCAAGAGAGAATAGGCAAAAGAGGGGTTTCACTAGCAGGCAATTGAGTACATATAGCAAACCCTAACATGGTTGTACTCACTATAGAGTACCCCACTGCAGGCTAGTGAGAAAGTTTAGAAGAGAGAAGAGGGTTGCACTAGCAAGAATGAGGATACAAGTAGCAAACCCTAGAAGGGTTGTACTCGCTATAGAGCACCCCACTACAGGCTAGAGCATAACATAACATTCTGACACATCCCCATAGCCAAAGTGGGGTGTAATCAGCAGAGCAAGCAAAGCAGTACAAGCTCAGGGTGGATCACAATGTCACCACACATTCTGAGCACAAGTTCAAGAAGCAATAGTTTAAAGTTCACAATTATGAGCAAAGCTAGTGGTGGTCACAACGGGCAAGTGAGGAGGAGGAGAGAGAGTGAGAGGAGAGGAGATAGGAGGCGACGGATGAAGCTGCAGACACACGGGCAACACGAGGCACACTGGCACAGCGGCTACCGGAACAACGCTCCGGAATACTGGAGTAACTGGCCCCGCGGCTAAAGTAGTGGCAGACGAGCAACGGACCCACGGGCGGCTGGCACAGCTGGCTACGACTGGGCTACCGGACGAAGTCCCCGGAATACAAGTGCTGCTGGCGACACGACGGCAACCTCCATTCAGCTTCCCCAAACGATCCCACTCCCCCTGACACACACCCGCTGCTACACCCCTAGCTCCACTCCCACCCCACCCTCTAGCACCACTCCGTCGAATCCCACACACCCACCCCCCTTAGCAGTAGCTGTAGCAGTGGGAGACAGAGGAGGAGGAGGAGCAGGGGAGACTACACACTTGCCACCCCCCAGGTCACCGCGGCCCCCGAAGGAGCCGCGATGGGCGACGAGAAAAGGGGGGGGGGGGGGGAGGCGGTGTCGTAGGTAGGGCGACGGGGCCGGGCCGTAGGTAGGGCGATGGGGCCGGTACGCAGGTAGGGCGACGGGGCCGGGGCGCAGGTAGGGCGACGGGGCCGGGGCCGAGGTGCAGGTAGGGCGACGGGGCCGCAGGTAGGGCGGCGGGGCCGGGGCCAGGGCCGCAGGTAGGGTCGCCCGAGCCGCGCGCAGGCGGCCCGAGCCGCGCGCGGGCCTGGCGCCGCCCGTACGGGCCGCGCGCGGGCCTGGCGCAGCCCGTACGAGTGGTGCGCGGGCTTGGCGCAGCCCGTACGGGCCGCAGACGGGTCGGGCGCGGCCCATACGTGCCGCGCGCAGGCCACGACGGGCGACGGGGGGCGACGCGGAGGTCCCCGTCGCCCGTCGCAGCGCCTCCCAGGAGCGGCGCGCGGCGTGACGGGGCAGTAACCCGCCGCGCGCCTCGGGGCGCACGGCGGGATGAAAAACTGCCGCACGCCAAGGGGCGTGCGGCACAGAGAGTAGTGATAGCAGTAGCAGTAGGAGTTGCAGCGGAAGCAACGAGGTGGTGAGTCCACCCACAGGATCGATCCAAGGGGATCGACCTGCTCTGATAGCATGTGAAAGTTTAGAAGAGAGAAGAGGGTTGCACTAGCAAGAATGAGGATACAAATAGCAAACCCTAGAAGGGTTGTACTCGCTATAGAGCACCCCACTACAGGCTAGAGCATAAGATAACATTCTGACAGCTAGACAGCAAATACATGTCAGATGATTATATTACTGATGCATATATTTAGGCTGTAGTGGGGTAGCCCATAGGGGTACAACCCAATTAGGGTTGGTACTTGTACTTGTTTCATTTCATAGTGCATTCATTCTCTCTCTAATCTCAACATGGTATAGAGCGGGTCCTTCATGAGGACCATTTTTTAAGGGCCCACCCACGAAATTTTCGCTGCCCGGAGCGCGCCCTTCTCTCCCCGAAGCGCGCTCACCCCTAGTCCTTCTCGCGCTGCCCTTGTGGCCCCCGCGAGTCGCGCGCGCGACCCTTTTTTTTCGCGCGCGCGGCCTGGGCCACGTCGCGCTGGCCTTACGGCCGCGTCGCGCCGCCCTCGCGGCTCTGCTGCGTCGCGCCGCCCTCGCGGCCCCCCTAGCGCCGCCCACGCGGCCTCATCGCCTGCCTCTGCAGGCCCCGACGTTGCACCTGCCGGCCCCGCCGCTGCACCTGCCGGCCCCAAAGCTGCACCTGACGGCCCCGCCGTCCCCTTCTGACGGCCCCGCCGTCCCCCTCTGCCGGCCCCGCCGCTGCACGCGACGGCCCCGCCGTCCCCTCTGCCGGCCCCGCCGCTGCTTCAGACGGCCCCGCCGCTGCACCTGACGGCCCCGCCGTCCCCTCCGACCGCCCCGCCGCTGCACCTAACGGCCCCGCCGTCCCCACTGACGGCCCCGCCACTGCACCTACCGGCCCCGCCGCTACCCCTGACGGCCCCGCTGCTGCATCTGCAGGCCCCGCCGTCTCACCTGCCGGCCCCGCTGCTGTACCTGACGGCCCCGCCGCTTCACCTACCGGCCCCGCCACTACCCCTAACGGTCCCGCAGCTGCATCTCCCGGCCCCGCCGCCCCAGCAACTGCGCCGCCCCAGCAGCCGAGCCGCCCCAGCAGCCGAGCCGCCCCAGCAGCCGAGCCGCCCGAGCCGCCCGTGCCGCCGAGCCGCCCGAGCCGCCCAGCAGCCGAGCCGCCGAGCCGCCCGAGCCGCCCGAGCCGCCCGATCCGTCCGAGCCGCCCGAGCCGCCCGAGCCGCCTGCACTGCCCTGTCTGGTGAGCACTGAGCTTTACTCTGCGCACTGCCCTTACCCCACTGCTGTCATGGCTACCCCCAGTGTCCTCACCTTCGACGCTGAGGGCAGAGCCATCGACTTTGACGTGTGGGTAGACGACCTGCTGCTTTTCCTATAGTGCGACAGAGCTGACGGCCTCTCTCTCTTTGATCTCACTTCTGGTGCCTCTCCCGCCCCTGCTGCTACTGAGGATGCCACTGTTCGCTCACAGTGGGCCACACGCGATGCTGCTGCACGTCTTGCTGTGCGTCGCCACCTCCCTACCTCTGAGCGTGCACACTTTGGGTCGTACAAGAGTGCTCAGACCTTGTACGACGCCGTTATTGCACGCTACTCCACCCCTGCCACTGCTGCACTGAGCCGCCTCATGCTACCGTACCTCTTTCCCGACCTTGCTTCTTTTGCCACAGTCGCCGACCTCATTACCCACCTGCGCACTAGTGACGCTCGCTTCCGCGCTGCGCTTCCTGCTGAGTTCTGCGCCAAGAACCCCCCCCCCCAGTACTTCACTCTCTACTACATTGTCACCCGCCTCCCTGACTCCCTCCGCGGAGTCAGGGACGACTTACTCTCAGTCTGCCCCACCACTCTCACTGTTAACCTCCTCGAGAAGTCCCTCCTAGCAGCCGAGAAGAGCATTCTCGCTGTAGGGGCCTCTCGTGGTGACCCACGCACCCCCATCTTTGAGGGGTGTTCCCCCTCCCCCCTCCTGCCCTCTGTCGCCTCTGCTGCTACGGCCGACCTAGTTGGTTTTGA